TACTGAAGGTGTTTTTTGAATTAAATAGTTTGGAAATTTCTTATTGTATGTCAACATTTATATTACATATCAATTAATTGCAAACATATTCATAAAGAAAATAAAACAATTTCAAACAATACTTACATTGAGAGTATCATTGAATGTATTCACACATTAACGCAATCAGTTATTCATATCAAAACAATTATAACAGATCTAAAGTTTTGTTGTTTCCATGATTTGAATGTTGCACTGAATGAGAAATACGAGTCAAAGAAACTGATGCCAAGTGTTTGCTAACAGACAGTCCATCGCCACGTATAAGAAGTGTATGAAGAAAAGAGATACACAAGTCGTGAATGCCTGACGAGTGAGAAGTGAAGGCAGAGTACAACTTACTGTAATCTACAGAGAGGTATATACTGTAGTTCTGCGATCATTCAATCTGAAGGTAGTTTTGGGTTTTTGTATTATTATAGTGTGTTTAGTTAGTAATAGGCAGTGAATCCATCTTTCCATTCATTCATACAGCTATTTGATAAGTCCTTTCCCACAGCTTTTGTTGGACTGGATTTACAACATTTGAAGGGCTCATTGCCATAGGGGTAGAGGGGATGGCTGTTTCGATAGGCACTGTTTGCCAGTCCTGTTATAATGTTCCCAATTGCCAGTGTATTCATAATTAACATACAATGTATGGCTACGCAAATAAGCCTTACATAACAATAGAGTTACTGATATAATAACACTTAAAATGCATCTGAAAATTGTAATGCTTTCCAAAACTCACATCATTTAAGGAAATGGCGTTAAAATTGCTTTTTATTTCAATACTTTTTAAAGCAATGAACTCAATGTCTATATTTCGCTAATTTATTATATATTCGTTTTAGTCATTATAGAGATTAGGGATGAATAGGGAGTGAGAAAAGGACATGTATTTGTTATGGTATACAAAAGCTGTTGTGTAGTAACCAAGCAATTAGCAAATTAGACTATAAATAAAGAAATTATAGTAAAAAAAACAGTTAAATTTCTTCCTATTCTGCTATTAAATAGAGAACAGATATAATAGACGTTAAGATTAGATTAGATATAAGTTGTATGTCTTGGGGTTAAAGAATTTTCCCCATTTTAATGCCATAATTCAAAAAGTGTTTCATTAAATTTTCAATCAAATATTTATTTAAATAGATTATTGCTTTCAACATATACTTCATACAGAACTCAATAGTTTATTAATTCTTAAAATCAATTTTTTACTTAAACATAAGTTTATGTTTTAAAATAAAATTCATAACAAAATAATTAAGTGAGAAATACTAAAAATAAGTGGAAAATGAATTTCAAATAAATATCACAAATCTTAAAAATGTAAAATTTGATATTTAAATAAAATACAAAAAACAAATTCAGTAAAATCATAGGAATATAAACAGAATCTTGTTATTAAACACAGCATTTAGTGTTTAGATAAGCGATTGAATAAAATATATATAAATAAATTATTTTAAGTTACGCTAAACATGTATCGATTAGTTATTAGTTATAGAATTAATGATTGATATCATTTGAATAGAATATTTGTCAACCGATAGTAACTATACTTTTATATAACTTATATTTTACTTTCTTTAAGATAAACATTTGTTTTAAAACTATTGATTGTTTGTCAATAAGTGACTAAATATTCATTTAAAACTATGCAATAATATCTCGTGTTTTTAAATTAACGTTTTGCTAAATAAATATTTTGGTTAACAATAATTTATAACATTATATATATATTTATTGATATATCGTGTAATACTTGGACCAAATCAAAAGCATAGTCTTTTAAAGGAGAGCCATTTCCTCTTCGAGTTTGGCCAGAAATTTAGAGCTCCGGGCCTTTGGATCCATCTGTTTATATATATTTATTGATATATCGTGTAATACTTGGACCAAATCAAAAGCATAGTCTTTTAAAGGAGAGCCATTTCCTCTTCGAGTTTGGCCAGAAATTTAGAGCTCCGGGCCTTTGGATCCATCTGTTTATATATAGACAAAAGTGTGAGACATTTGGATTGGCATTCAAGTCAAAGTGTATGTGCGCTCACCTGACGGGTCCAGTCGATGAACGCCAATAGCTTTTTGATACCAACTGAGAGACGTTTGGAGGAAATATTTTTGGAAATTCTTGAGATCTCGTCGCGAGTGAAGCAAGAGTTGCCGTTTTCGGACAAATTCAGCAAAACAGTGGTCAAGTGCTCGGGTTTTGTCAGATTCGGTACGTGAAGGACAGTCGTAAAGGAGGCGCAGAGTTTCATTTGCTCCAAAACGTCGCGACGACTGGTTGTGCACAGAATAAGCAGTTTCTTTCCGGGCGGCGGCTCTTTCTTGAGGAGAACGCGAAGCGCCTGCAGAACAACATTGGAATAACGGGCGCCGATATCGCCGTACTCTAAGAGCCCCTCCACGTCGTCGATAAGAATACAGCTTTGCGTCGATTTGTACGCGTCGTCAAACACTTTGCGGATTTGCATACATTTAGCCGTTTCGGTAAAACCCACCATATCTTCGGGCGAACACAGTTTGACAAACGGAAAGTCCGATTCAAGCGCCAGTTTGGCCGCCAAAGCGGTCTTTCCCGCGTTTGGAGAGCCCTCCAGAAGAATACTGACTAATCCGCGCTGAATCTCGCCGTCTTTGGCCTGTTGTATGAAGAGGTTTCCGTCGTCGAGCAGATCCTGAAGGGGTTGACCCCATGTCATGATTCCAGTCGAGTAGAAGCGCTCAATTGCCTCATTGCTTGTGCCAAACGCTGGCTTCACGTCGTTCTCCAACGCGTGAATGAAGTCATTTCTGGAGATGAGTAGCTTCTCAAACGCCTCGGGATCGAGTTGTACTTTGTTATCCGCCTTCACCAACCGATTCATGGCAGTCGACTGCGCCGCCCGAACCAATCCCTCAATCTCGGCGCCCGAGAAGTTCTTCGTACGTCCGGACAATTCGTTCAAATCCACATCACTGGCCATCTTCTTGAATGATCTCATTCTGGATGTATGGATGTTCAGGATTTGGAGCCTCCCGTGTTCGTCGGGGAGACTGATCTCCATCTGCACTTCCATTCTTCCGGGTCGAAGCAGCGCCTCATCGATCATATCTCGTCTATTAGTCATTCCAATGACCAGAATATTGTTGAGAGACTCGACGCCATCGATCTTTGCCAACAATTGGTTGACAACTGTGTCGTGAACTCCAGTATTGCCCGCCTTTGAAGTATAAAGTAAAGTATTAATAAAAAGTTTGTTATAGCAATTCATACATCGCTTAATACATACCACAGAACCTCTAGCTTTACAAATGGCATCGATTTCATCAAAGATAATGATATGTAGACCGCTATTCATTCCCATACGTTTCTGTTCCTCCTCCGCGTCGGCAAACAGTTTCCTGATATTAGCCTCCGATTCGCCGACATATTTGTCCAGAATTTGCGGTCCGTTTACTATTTTGGGTTCTCTCGCGTTCAACATTTGGCCGATTTGTCGGGCCATTAGTGTCTTTCCAGTGCCGGGCGGACCGAACAACAATATACCCCTCACGTGCTTTAGACCCAACTGTTCGATGATCTCCGGCGGGAATACTCTAGAGGCAAACGCGCGCCGAAATATGGCGTTAAACTCCTTATCGAGTCCTCCGATTCCCATAGCCGCGAAATCCCAGTCCGGGTTTATAATCGATTGCCGCACTATTTTGCCCTTCGCCTGACCCGTCAGTGTGATCGACGAGCCCTCGGCCTTCTCGAAGATTACGTGAGTGTCGGGAATGATTTGTCCCGTTTTGATCTGATAGGCAAACAATCGGTCAATTAGTATAACAAATAGTTGTGTAAATGATATATTCAATACTTTTTGCGGTTCTTTTCCCTTTTGGTTGTCTTGCATACCATCGATGACCAACACTTCCATCTCTTTAATCCCAAGTCTAAGAAGTTTTTTGTCCAAAAATTTGAAGACATACTGTCGTTGAATACATGTTTGAATGAGAATTGATAGCAAATTCATCGACAACTGAGAAGATATACCTCCTGTCCAACAGTGAAGGCCTGTCTCGGGAATTGCATGAGAAACTCTCGGGCCATCACATCCGTGTCAAACGGTTCCGAAGTCGGGGCAGTTTTTTGCATATAATCCACTGATAGTGTAATTTTGGACACCAATTGTGTGTTTGGATTGAAAGTGTAGAGACGGACGTCTACTATCTCGTTGATCGACAGTTGAGCCCATTTTCGCTGTCATTTCACAATACAATTGCATTCAAACATTCATTTATAATATAATATAAAGAGTAAATCACAAACCATTGGCAAATTGAAACCCATCGTCCCTTTGGGCATCTGATCCGCCGCTTCCAGAGTGAAAACATATTTACGGTTCGCTGAAGTCGTGATCTCAATATTACTAACAAATACAACAAATCAAACAATTAATTGTCACTCAATTGACTCAAATTGTGGTCAAAAAATTGAGTACCGATTCTTGTTATAAAGAGGATAATCGGATGGATTGACAATCACTCGATTGGTGTGCGAATGAATATCCGACGGACATGAGGCCACTTTACCACGATTGCACTCCTGATGGACACACATGTCATACCATTAATCATATATTCATTACAATTAGACGACAATATTGTTGTCTCAAAATTATATACCATTTCTATAGCAGTGAATGAATGACTAAATTAATCAATGGATCAATTCTTCGATGTCTTCGCGCATTCAAAGCCAATATCCATACAAATGGTCACCAATTGTTGCCCTCTTTGTGTTCTTAAAGTGTTTGATGACTAATCCAGTGATGAAATGATTGATAATTGATTGATCGATTCTTCGATGTCTTCGCGCATTCAAAGCCAATATCCATACAAATGGTCACCAATTGTTGCCCTCTTTGTGTTCTTAAAGTGTTTGATGACTAATCCAGTGATGAAATGATTGATAATTGATTGCAATATTGATTACAATCAGCGGTTGAATGAGTTGTGAATTAATAATAATGTAAACAATAATAGAGTTGTTGTGAAAACATAGCATTCATTGCAATACAAGACTTGTATTACAAATTGAAGACTCCTTTCGTGACGTGTTTTCAATCGATTGCTTCACTCAATACATGACACACACAACGCGTGTCCACAAACTTACCATCAGTTTCTCATTTGTTACTTCATTTGGTCACCAAATTTAAACTCCAGATAACCATTGATTATATTTCACAGACACAACCCATTAATGTAAAAATGTTTTTAGTTTTTATTTAGAAGAGATTTTTTGCGGTAATTATTAGCAATTTTTTAAAATTCATTTAGTTATGTGTAAAATAAAGTTTTTTTTTGCATTTAGTAATCGTATAGTAAAACAAATTAGTTGTAAAATATATTACTGTTAGTTATATTAAAAATTATTTAAAAATAAGTGTTAAAAATAATGAGATAATAGCCATAAAAGCGCCGATTATAAGCCATAGATCCAGTGACCGACTCTTGACGAGTGTCTCCAGAGTTGTTGGTTGTCTCACATCCAAGATATTAATCCATCGATCGGTTCGCAACTCATTTCCAGACATAGAGTTTGTGGCCTCAGATGCGGACAACTTTTCTAAACCAGATTTAATGGTTAAA